CAGTTGAGGTGAAGAACTTTTGAGCAGGGTGAACAGTGTACAGGGGTCTTCAAAAGGTCCATGGAAAATGCATATTATGAAAATATTATGCATGGATCTTAAATATTTTGTACCAGAATAAATTTGTACTTTAATTCCATTTTTCCACATACTTTCTGAACTCCCCTCATAAAGTCAGCCCAGAGATCCGGCAAGGAGAAGCTATACTGCACAGTGACCTAAGCACAGATCTTCAGTTCTAACCCCTGCTCTGCCACTTACTAGTTTTCCACTATAACATGAAAATTAAACACAGTACCCACCCCTGAGGGTTATATCCAGGATTAAATGAGTCAATATAGGCTATAGGCTTAGAAAGGGGCCTGGCACATGGTAAGCAAAGCTCAAAATGTTTAGCTTTTGTTTGTATTATTATTCCTATACACAGAAGTGGGGCTATTTATTCTGAATACTCATCTCTTCTATCAGGCTATCAATTCAGAAGACTCCTTCAGAAATAATCGTTATTGGCCCAGCTTTGTGGCACAGTGATAACACACTGCATAACAGAAGCCAGATTTCACCCAGAACCATAGTCTGAACCCCTAGCCTGGTCCACCTGAAACACGCTGGGCACACACGTGAATGCCCAAGATCCAACAGGCTGGAGGACTGGAGGAAGGGGACCGTGGCTTGACTAGGCTCTGCCGAGGGTGCTCTCCCCACCTCACTCTTGTTCTCTTGTACATGTACTCTCTCATGGTTACAGAAAAAAAAGTTTTTAATATTCCAATTTCCCTCTGCCAAGATGCTTGAAGGCTCTAGTATCGGGATTTGGGGGCATCCTTGTTTATAAATCCTACCTGAACCAGTGCTTCTTAAATGGTCCCAACAAAAGTATTCCTAAATCCGAAGGGAGGAAATGGAAAACCCCAGGAATCTAATCTACAGCAGCCTGCTATAAGCAAAATGTTATCTTCAGGTTTCCTGGTTTAAATTCATGAAAACTTTGCACACCAATTTATAGGATTAAATTTACAGGACTTTTCCTCCCTTTCTTTCTTTCTTCCTTCCTTCCTTCTTTCCTTTTCTTTTCTTTCTTTCAATTTTGCCATAGGATGTATGTGGTTGCCAGAGAGAAACAGTGAGTGAGAAGGAAAGTGAGAAATCACACCCAAGTAGGATGGCCACACTGCAATCCTTTCTCTTCCATTCTCCTCCTGGGATCTTGGACATGGCATGCACATGTACCCATCATGACTTTCAAGCCACCAGGTCTGGGACTTGAACCATGGTGGGTCATGCCACCTGCTGGCCCCAAACAGTACTAGTTTAATAGGAAAATGCTTACAGCTCAGTAAGACTGAAGAGCCTAGAAGCTGCAAAGACTTCATTTAGTCTGTGGCTCTGAATATCCACAGCACATGAATGTGGTAGGGTCTGAGAATCCCAGTGGGAGAGCAGTCACAGCCTCAGCATTCTCTTCTATAAAATAGACATACCACCTACATCAATTCCGTTCAATATCTACAAAATAAGACAGTATGTATGGGCCAGCCGGTAGTGTGGTGGTTAAGGCAGCTGGATTCCACAGCCAAATGCACAGTTCAAGTCCTAGACCCAGGGGCTTGAAAAACACGCCAGCCATGTGTGCATGCAGGCCCAAAATCCCGAAAGGAGAAACGGGGTAGAAGGGATTATTGTGTGCCCATCCCTGGGAAGAATGCTTTCTCACTTCCTCTCCAGCAAGTGTACACACCCTCTTCTAACAAATTAAAAGAGAGAGAATATATGAAACCATTGAGCAAAGTACCACACATCCTAGCACATGTTTGATACAAATGTTGAATCAGAATCCTAGGGATTAATTATAAAGCATCTCCAAAACCCCATTTACCCACCAGAGGCAACTGCTATTTTGTGAGGATCTGTTCTGTGCCAGACACTGTACTAACTCCTTTACCCTTGTTTCTAATTTTGCAAGATACTAAGTATCCTCATTTTACAGAAGAAATAGTGAGGATAAGTAACAAGCCCAAGGTCACACAGTTGGTAAAGAGGGGAGTCTGCATGAGAACTCAAGTCCTGCTGACTCCAAAGCTCCAAAGCTCTAGAGCCTTCCACCGCTGCCCAGTCAGAAAAACACTGTTCACTGAGCGAAAGTTAGAGGAAAAATGTTCTTTCTAAGAACTTGCTTGGTGGGGCTAAATTTAAATGTATGACCTTGCTTTGTTTCCAAGTAAATTCTAGTGAGAGGAGTTCCTGGTGGAAAGCCACATGCTTCTCACTGGCAGGCAGTAGGCAGCACCAAAGGGGAATCAGAGGTCTAATCAGAGACCAGCTCTGCTGGTTCCCAACCCCCATCCCTGCCTAGAAGGATCCCCCACTCCGCCCCCCAAATCCACTTGCTTTTACTTCCATTTTCTAGACATCAAGAATTTCAGGTTCCCAAGAATTCAATGGCAAGCAGAAATGAGCAAACTGTAGGGCCCTAAAAAGTACCGACTTGGGACTCCTGTCATGATCCTCCAGGGCAGAGGAAAAGGGGGGTCAAGAAAGAGCATACGAGGTCGGAATAGAGGTGGAGAAGAAACTGAGAGCGGAAGAGGCATGCCAGTAATGAGCAGGGTCCAGGGTTGAGCAGCACTGCTCACTAACTCATTCACTCAACATCAGAGCAGACCAAAGGAGGGCCCATTAGGAAAGAGGAGTTCATGTCAGACCTCACATCCCAAGCATGGCTCTACCACTTTCTTTCTTTCCTTTTTTAAAAAGAATTATTTAACTTTATTTATTTATTTTAATTCAACCAGAGAGGACACGGGGGGGGGGAGGGGGAGCAAGCCACCAGTTCTGGGACTCAAACCAAGGTCAGCCATGTGGGAGTCCAGTGCCCTTAACCACCACGCCACCTGCCGGCCCCGACTCTACCACTTTCTAACTGTCTGGTCTTAGGCAAACAACTTGGGTTCCTTTGGCATCATCTCTAAAGTGGGCTTTCAAATCCTGTTATCTCCCAAGACATTTGCGAGGAACGTGTGTTAAAAGAACTTTGCAAACTTTCAAATGATTTGTAAAAATGAATTGCCACCACCTTCTATAGTATAAAGGCAGAGAAAGGACAACTAGTTGTGAGAGAGAAGAGGAGAGGAATGGCATCCAAAGGGAGGGAGGGGGTACTGTCTCTCCCTCTTTCTGCAAAGCAGCATCACACCTCTGCTTGGACTCTAATTTCTGGATGCCAGAAGTGGCTGCATAACCATTGGAACACTGGTGTTTTCCTTGTCTCTCTGACTTTTCAGAAGGGAGAGCTTCTCCTTCACAAGCCTATTTTGGAGTCAGAGCTAGGAGAGCGCACCCAGACCCAGGAAAGAAGGCCCCCTCAGAAGGCAGGTTAGCCTCTCTCCAGGACCTCTAGAACTTCACAAACATCAGTCAACTGCTGAAGAGGTAAGTCTGGTCAGAGACCAATGAGTATGAGGCCTCCCTGGCCCTGTATCTTGGAGGCACAGGTAGAGCAAATTGGAAAAACCAACTTGGCTGAAGAAGCCTCCAGATAAGTGCATCCCAGACCCAGCTCAAAAGATGGCAGGAATCACTAGAAGTAGTCAAAAAGATCTCAAGGTAAAAAACATCAGCACTCGTCAGTAGCATCCAAGGGTGGAAAAAGTGGCCCGGAACCCTGAAGAACTACAGAAATTCCCAAGGACTGCAAAGCTTTCCCTCCCTTCCTCCACTGGAGATAGCAAGGGTCAGTCATGGCCTCAGAGTCAGGCTGCTCCTCGTTACAGTACAGTCTCCAGCCTGTACTTTGCTCACATAACAAAGAATCTTCCCGCTTGATCTGAAACAGCAGCCATTTCCCACACTTAAGTCTCGAGCAACAGACAGAGAACGTATGTCAACATGACTGGGACCAGCACTTTCTGCCATGTACAGGAATTCCTTGAGCTACAAAAATTAGCACATTAAAAATCCAGAGCTGTCATTGGGATCTTGACTTATTCCTCCATAGTAAGTACAAGCCCAGAAGGAACTGGAGAGACACCCTGGTGTGACTGGACCTGTTGCTCAGGATGGTGTATGTGTGGGTTTGGGGATGAAGAAGAGATGACCCTTCAATTCCAGACTCATTTTTGGTCTGATTCTCCTCCCTACAGACCAGCAGACAGCAGTCCCAGGAGAAGCAGTCCTTCTGAGGCAGCCTGGAAACCACTTATGTGCCCTGGGAGGACAAGGCTGAGCCTGGAGCAAGAAAGGAGGAGGAGGGGAGAGAGAAGATAATGAATGGGCAGATCCACCCCGATCTGTGATCTGTAGTTCAGATTGAGCACACCTCAGCTAAATTCTTCAGAGGAAGGAAGAGATACACTCAGAGCGCATATCTAGAAGAGAGGATAGGGCCGGGGTGCAGAGGGGGGCAAGACGGAGAGCAGACAGCTCATTCCTATTAAGTGACCCAGACTTCCAACTCTGCTGAGGTCCTGGCTGGCTCTGTTTGGGGAAAGAGAGGAAGTAAGGAGTTGTGGGAGCGCAAACGCACTTCAGTGAGTGTGAACCCGGCTCACCCAGACCACCTCCTCCCAAAGAAAATCGAGATAAAAATTCCTCTAAGGCTGGAAGAGACAACTGTTTTTGTGGGACGGGGGGTTGGAAAACGACGGCAGACAGCGCTCTCCGGCACCTCTAAAAGGGAAGGGGACAGGTTCCTTCCCACCTGGCAAAGATCCCCCAATTCTGGGAGCAGGGGGAGCGGAACTTGGAGTCCCTCTCTCTCACAACTGGACTGGACAGGCCAGAGGAGAGCCACAGAGATTTCCCCAAGGCTCACGGAGGGCAGATGAACGATGGAAAGAACCCCCCACACCTTTGGCCCGACGCCTGGAGAGCTCCTTAAGAGGGGGCTACGGGTCGGAGGAGGGGTCAGTATCCCCCTAAGCTGGGTTTGGGTGGGAGGAAGGGCTGCCCCGGAGAGGCTTCAACGTGGGCGAGACGCTAGGTCCCGGGACAGGCACACTCACGGCGACTCCCGGGCGGCGACGTTACTTGGGGCCGGGGCTCGGACAGGCTCTGCTCCTCTCCCCCCCGGCCCTGTCCCAGGCTCCGGCCTCCACTTCCGCCTTTCAGCCGCTCCGGATCCGGATCTCCATCTCTGCCCCGCCCCTCTGGACTCCCAGGTGACTGACAGGGCGAATAGGCCAATGGGACGCCCTTCTGGCTGACTCACAAGCGACGCCTGTGGGAGGCCCTGGAGAGGCCAGAGGGCGCGCGCGAGGGACGGCGGGACTTGTAGTTCGCTGCGTTGGGAGGAGCTGGTGGCTGCCTGGGACTTGTGCTTAGGGTGGAGCCGCTGCCTGCGAGGCGGAGCCCGGCCGGGAACTTCTACAGCCTGGCCTGCCCACCGCGTCAGCGCGGGTTCCTGGCACCCCGAGGGGCAGGCTGGTGCTGGAGTTGGAAAAGGGCAAAGGGATATGTGTGCAGAATTGGGAAAGGGAGTGAATACAGGGAGTGAATACAGGGCGTGAACGAGTATGCACATGAGGCCTCGTGGACCAGTCCTGTGCATTCGCTAACAGGGAGAAGCCCCTGTCCCCATTTTCCAGCTCTGGGAACCGGATGTTGGTGACAGTCTATGATGGGCAATGTGTTGGAAGCGTTGTAGGAAGGATTACCTGGAAGATACTGGGTGAGATCAAAGGGAGTGCTTCTGCCGTTGCCTTCTACTTTGGCTCCGCCCACAACACAACAGGACCACCTCCTCCTCTGCCTCCTAGACTCCCAACCAGACCCAACGCTTCCCTCTGATGCCAGATACAGAGCCGGACAACCACTGCCTCAGCCCTCCTCATCCTCATATATAGTCTAGACCCTCGCCCCGCCATGGATCAAACTATTTCTGTTTCCTCCGCTCCCCTCAGTATTAGGACCACTTCTGCCTCTGCCCGCCCCCTACCTCCCAACACAGGCCAGTACAATCTCTGCTTTTGTATTCACCCCTTCCCCCACACTGAAAACCTCTGTAGAATCAAAGCTCACCCCAGAGACAGCTGTGGCCACTGCACCTATGACATCAGTTATACTCTGGGGTCTGAGCTGGATAATCAACTTGTCTGGGACAACCTGCTACTAAACTGTGCCCACTTGTAATTCTCTTATCCATAACCTCCCCTCCACTAGCAGTGATCATTAGTAAATGAAAGCTGAGAAAGAGAAGGCTTGGGAGGGCAGAGGGGAGGGGGCAGAGGCTCTTGTCTGGGGACAGGCGCTTCCCTCCACTTCTACTGTACCTAGCCCTGAACAGTTCCATATACAGGAGGGGTGGGGTGTCTCTTGGGCCCACCTTTCCAAAGTTGGAGTGGGTCTGAGCCAGACTCTGTCCCTCCCACAAACTGTGTATGTATTTGTGACTGGGGGCAAGGAGGAGGGGGAGGCAGGGAGATGTATAACAGGCCCAAAGTGACTCATTAAGGTTTCTCCCTCATCCCTGGGGCCCCTGGTGGCGTGAATGTGGTGCCAAGTGGATTGGCTGGCGCCTTTGCCCTTCCCAGAGACAGCAACAGGGCCCTGGGGTGTGACGGGGGAGTGTCTGCTGTGTTGGCTCTTCTAAAACCCTGGGACTCTCAGACCAACCCCTAGAATCAGCCAGAGCCAACAACTACAAAAATAAAAGTTTATTTTCTATCCAAAAGTGAGCCCAGGGTGTTGGGTGGTAAAGGACAGAGGAAGACCAGGGGGAGTTTTTGAGATGTCCAGACCCTGAGTGAGACCATGTGGGAAATGGGGAGAACAGTCTTGGCTGAGGTCTGGGTGCAGGGGAGGGATAGGGAGAACTGCTGGGGTTGTTTTGAACTGCTGGCAGCAGAAGAGACCACCTTGAATGATAGCCTGCAGAGACACAGAAACAGAGATGTTGACAGATGCTGACTCAGAGGTAGAAATAGACATTCTTGGGCCCAAAATATATCTGTTGGGCAAAGGGACCTGGGCACAAACTCTAGGGCAAAGACTGCAAACTCAATTACCCACAGAGACTAGACAGTCCAATGAGAGAAGCTAGCTGGATGCCTCAGATGGTCAAGAAAAACAGAGACTGCAAAGAGCTGGAGAGTGCAGACCCCATCTGAGGAGGACAGTGGCTACCCCTACCGCTGACTGCTGACTGTTGGCAGCTGTAATATTGGCCCAGCTTGGCCTGGTGTCCTACAGTTTCTTTTTTTGTTGTTCTTTTTGGAGAGGATTTTGCTACAGGGCACATGTGCTCACCAGAAAGACAGAGAGAGACAGAAAGCGAGAAATCACCCTCCCCCCAGGGGGATGGCCACTCCCCAATCCCTTCTCCTCCATTCTCCTCTCTGGATCTTGAGCACGCATGCACACACGCCCCGGCATGAGTTTAAGTCACCGGGTCCAAGACTCAAACTGCGGTCGACTCTATAGGAGTCCAGCGACGTAGCCATTATGCTATCTGCTGGTCCCACCCTACAGTTTTTTTTTGAGAAGCTGGAATATATGGATTTTTAAAGTGATCTCACTTTATTTTTGATGTCGGCAACTAATCAATATTTTTTGGGGAAAATGCTATGAGAGCTGAACAATAAATGCCCAGGGCCCTCTGTTTCCTGTGTGGACTATGGGATGAAGGGAGCTCCTCCAGCCCTGGGTAGGAGGTGGCCTGAGTCAGGACCCTCTCCAGGATCTCAGACCTAACCTTCTCGAGATGATATAGCTCTCAAGATCTCCAGCAGAGACCCGGGCGCTAGGACAGAAGAATCACAATATCACTAATGTCTCTCCAGCAGGGAATCCTGTGAGCTCTCTCCCTTGCCATAGACACCAAGATACTGCCTGGTCCGCCTTCATTTTCCCAGGCTGGGTCTGGGGCCCGTGCCTACGCCCTTTGCTCCAGCATATTTACCTGCCTCCAGGTCCTGGGGAGAAAGGAGGACATCTCATCTGCCCAGCCCAACGTGCACTGTGGTCCATCGCATGCCTGCTGGGTTCCACAGCTGTAGGTGGCTCCCCTCACAGAGGAGAAGGACAAAAGAAGGTTTGAAGAAGGGATGATGGTCAGAGGCGACCATGCTTTGTTAAACAGTCCAGTGAATCTAGAGCCAACCAGACCAGCTGGTGGCTGCTGACCCCAACACAGGAGGCCAAGGGGCCCAGGTCCTCCCTGGAAGGCAAGCGGCAATGCCCACCCCAGACAAGCCTGGGCCCAGGGCCAGGGTCAGTGAAATGTCTCTGATCGGGACCGGAAGGTGTGCCTCATGAGGCTTGGGGTCGAGGGTGAAACCTCTGGCACTGGAGAGTGTCCCAGAGGGTCAGGTTCTGAAGGGTAAGGGGGCAGCATAGAAGTTCTCAGGTCTTGTGGGGAGGCCTCCATCTCTGCAGTCCCCACACTGGTTGGGCAGTGGACCTCCGCAAGTGTAGTATCCTGGAGGCTAGGTGGTGGTCCAGACACACAGGGAGAGAGGCGCGGCAGCTTCGACTGGGGGCAAGGAGGCCCTGGGAGCCAAGCTGAGACTGTCGGGTGGCCTGGGGGACCCAGCCTGGCCTGCAGCAGGCCCATCATGTGCCGAAGCTCCCGGCTAAGCTGCGATACTTCCTGGTTGAGACGGGAGATCTGTGGAAAACACAGGTTGTCTCAGGTGCCACAACTATAAGCAAGTGCATGCCCCTCTACAAAGTATCAAAAGGCCAACCTGGGGAGAAGGTAGGGTATGGGGTATTTTTGCCTAGGTGTAAATACTTCAGTCTCTTTCCAAAATGGATGTGGCATAGCAAATATTGCTAGGTCTCCCTCTGCTTTTACAAGATGTAGAAAAATATGCTCAGAGAGGCCTCGCAGCTGTGAAGTGACAGATCTGGCCTTAAGTCTCAGGTGACTGCATCGCACAAGCTCAAGGGTCTCTATCGGTGGTTTTCAAACTTTAATGAGTACAGGATCAACTGAGATACTTGTCAAAATGCAGATTTCTGAGCCCCACCCCAAATATGACAAACCGGGTGATGTCCAGGAATCTGCATTTTAATAGTTTCTCAGGTGGTTCTGATAGGTACTCAAGTTTGGGAGCTACTGACTTAGAACTGAGGGGTTCCCGAGGCAGAGCAGACAGGACTTGCCCTCAATCTTGCTGAGCAAGGGCTGGCCCCGCCCCAGCCCCAGGGCCCACCCCTGCCCAGGTGCCGCCCCTCTGGGATGCCTGATGTTTATCAGAACAGACGGAAGGCCAACTCCCAGGGGCTGGGCCTGGTCGCTTGGTGGCGACAACCTGAGATCCTTGGGGACAAGGTAGAGGCAGTGAGTGCTTCGGCATACAGAATCTGGGCTCTTCCTGGCCAGGATTCAGACATGTGGGTCCAGCCTTGAAGGACTTGAAGGACTCTTAGCCTCCTTGTCCTCTGCCCAACCCCTATGTCTGCTTAGCACTCACTTCCCAGGCCTAGGGTAAGGGAAAAGGACTTGGGCAGGAGAGAATCCCATGGTGTGGAAGGAGAAGGGGTCATCTTTTCGGGTTGGAAAATCTGAGCCAGTGGGGGGCCAGGGCCTGGACTAGGCACATGCACACTCGTTTCATCTTCTCGACTCTGGGACTCACGTATGATTATCCCCCTCCCCCTTGTTTAAGGTTTTTGGCATAGGGCACATACTCTTGCTGGAGGGAAACAGAGAGACAGAAAGAGGGAAAGTGAGAAATCACTCCCCCAAGGGGGGTGGCTATGTTGTAATCCCTTCTCTTCCATTCTCCTCTTGGGATTTTGGGCATACACGCACATGTGCCTGGCCTGATTTTCAAGCCACCAGGTCCTAGACTTGAACTGCAGTCGGTCATTTGGGAGTCCAGTCCCATAACCACTATGCCACCTGCTGGCCCCTACTTTCCCCATTTTTAGGTGAGGAAACTAAAGTTTAGAGCAGGAGTGGACTTGCCAAGGTCGTCCAGCTAGTGTGAATATTTGAATTCAGGATTCTGGCTCCAGAACCTGAAATGCTCTTGTATAGGGCACTCTGACCCTAAGATGGTACCCTCTAAAGTCAGAGGGGAGAAAGTGGCCCCAACCTACCTCCTGGTTCAGCCTGCAGACCTTCTCCTTCACCTCCTCAGCCTCCGTGGCCAGTTCCTGGCTGGGCCTGGTCCCTACAGGCAGAATGAGGTGAGAGGCTGC